TTTATCTCAACTGAAGCACTGCGCTTCATTTTTGGACTATTCTTAACACCCATAATAAATAAAACCTCTTGGCCATATTTCTAACAAGGCTGCGTGCTATTTTGTGTCCAATTTATTCTACCACAAGAGGTTATAGGTGATATGCTTCAGTATCAAAAAGAAACCTCAACCATCGCTGGCATCTGCTTCAAACGAATATTATGCCCGAAGGTCAAATGCTGCTTTCATCACCAATGTACTTTGCACAAAGTATTTTTCCCGCTATTTTCCGGAGCAAATTACAACTCCCGACTTGAAAGATTTGGTCTCGTGAAATTTTTCTCTCAAAATGAGGCTTTGTCACCTGTGAAGAAATACTGGGAGGGATGTTCTACCCTCAGCAGAAACGCGAGATGATCTGTTTGTACTGGGGGAAACTTTCACGCTGTCCTTCAAAGTGGCGCCACTTGTCGCTCGGTCAGTGCGAGCGAGGAGGTTAAAAATATTACGAGAGGATTGCTCGCGGAGGCTACGGGGCCGTCATGCGAGCGAGGAGGTTAAAAATATTACGAGAGGATTGCTCGCGGAGGCTACGGGGCCGTCATGGTGCTCTCTCCCAGTACGTTCAACCCCCTGGGGGGCGAGCCAGTGCAAGTGGCGCCAAATTCACGAGTTCCTCCGACTTCTGAATTTGGCGCCATTTCCGGAAATAACTGCTTTGTGGCCACTTGACCTTATCCAATATTCGCCACCATTTACGAAAATAACCGGCGCACCCTCGAGTAGCCTTAAAGGGTGTTTCTTGCGACGTGCGGGTTGCTATGGCAAGAGCTGCGTCTGCTCCAACGAAACCGGTTTCACCCCAGTTTGTTGGAGTCAACGCAGCTGTTGCCATAGCAACCCTCACGTCGCACAGCGTGTCAGTCGGTTGGACTCGACGCAAGTCTGTGAACCAACCTTAAAGCAAAGCTTACCAGTACCAATTTAAAAAGACAACAAATCAAAGGGCGTCTAGAAAGATTGTTTTAAAAAGTATGTGTACTGTACTTTGAATTTATACCACTTTACTCGAAGTACATTGGACCCGATGTACTTACTACTTTACTCGAGGTACGCAACCTCTCATTTACTTCGTACTTGAAGTAATTTTTTGGAGCCCGTCGAAGAGCCCATGAAGGAAGATTGTGAGTTGCCACTTTGGAGTCCCAAAGCGTGGATCCGAGTGGAGACCAACCGCCGACGCAGCCTGCCCAACACGCTCCGAGTGTGCGATGAAACAACAATGGGCACCACTAGATGGCGCATCTTTTGAGAAAGGCCGTATATTGGGAGAGTCTGGCCCGTAGGTGTGGCAACAAAGGTGCTAGAAAGGAGGAAAGGGAGGAGAGAGCAAACAAGAAACAACTGCCATTTTGATACGACACACTTTCGGCGCAGAGCACTGTTGAGGCTGCGGGTCGCCTGCTGCGGGCCAACTTTTTTTTGCCCGAATAAAAGTTTGCGGTTTAATGTTGAGAAAAATTTACTATTCGTTATCTTTTGAACGCACCGAAAAATAACGCTATATCATTTACTTGCCAGAGCCTGCAAAATGTAAGGAAAGAACCGAAATTGGGATGTCGACCCCACTCATTCCATTGGGTGAATTAATGAGCTCCCCGCTTGGCTGAGAGTAGCCAGGAGTTGACGAGCATGCGCTCACGCCCCTCACTCTGCGCTGCGGGCTGATTGGCTCTCTCAGGAGGGAGGCGTTGAGATGGTGAGGTCGTAAACTGGCCAAACTCTCTCAATATACAGCTCTGAAAAGGGTCTGTAAATGTGCTTGGCCTTGTTTCAGTTGTGTCTAGAATTTTTACCTAATAATTACCCGCAAAAGCCCAACAATCACGAAAAAATATTTTCTCAAAATTCGTCAAGGACAGCTCGCTTTTTCAGAACGAAATGTTCAATTCAGCCGATTCGTGAAGGAATCATGGGCGTCAGCAGGGGGTGCAAAAGGAGCAGTTGCCCCCCCCAAGCCAGAAAGCCTGCGTAGCCCCCCCCCCCCCCCACTCCCCGATCTCTCTCGGGTACGGGGGTTCAGATGACATCGAGCCATAACTTTCCTAGCAAGCGGAGAAACCAAAAGCAATCCTAAAAATAAAATCCACGCACTTTCGTTTCCTTGCATCCTTCAGCAATAAATACAAAAAAGAATAAGTTCTCCCCTCGATTCTGGCTTGCAACCAGCCGCGCCCAGCTAAAAGAAATGAAAAGCATAGGGAGGTGCATCCACGGACCACTTCCGAGAACATCGCAGTCCTGAGTTGTCAAGAATCACAGACATTCGGGTGAAAGTCGATAATAGGCCCCAAGAACAGAGCGTCTTCTACACAGAGCGGGATTCTTCCAAAAAGCCCAACAGAACAAATCGGCGTAGCTATGAGCTGGAGATAGTCCGCGCTCCCCCTTCGCTTCGTGCCCCTCGTAAAACCGTGAGCACTGGAGTGAGCCGGGGGGGGGGTCTCGACCCCTAAACAGAGCACTGCTCATGCCAGTGCTCTGTTTTGTATATGTGCCTTTGGGTTTTTCTTCTCCTTTTTCCTTAGTATGTTGTGGCCATGGGAAAAGAGAAGAGGGGGGTCAAAATCGGGGCCAGGCGTCCTCTTTCGTTCTGCGAAAGTTCTGCGAAACTCTGTCCGCACCATGTCAACAACGATGCTCCCCAGGGCCATAACTCGCGCGGGAGAGGCATGTCGGACCGTCCTCGTTGACACCATCGTGTTCACACACGTGACACTGTCAGATATCTGTGACAGAGTGACACATTTTACTTTTGCTGGCTCTCTCTTCCTGTCCCAGTTGCTAGAAAGAGCCACAATCCACACCCAATCCCACTTTATTACATAAGCGCGGGCTGATATGGGGTCAGAAGTGAAAATGGACATCAGTAACTTTTTTAAACGGAAAGCTGACAGTGTTATTGACAATCCATCTTGTGCAACGATGAAACACGTGACCTCAGAGCCGTGTCATGACCCGGAATCTATCGACGCACCTGCTGTTTCCGTCACTCCTGATCATGCTCCGGCTTTAAAGAACCAGCTGGACATTGGCTTTGCCCTCAACTCGACTCTCACAGGTATGTCAAACTCGTCTTTAACTGAGTATTTATGCAAAGCTCAGCTCGATCAGATATATAAAAAACCAAGGTAAAGATAAGCAGCGGGCTAAAATTTCACTCCACTTCTGAAATGAGACAGAGCGAGCATGGAAAGTCTATACACCTTTTCCGTCTAACCTCGATCCAGCGCGTAACGTGCGTAGCCTCGACTCGGCGACTCGGCGCACAGCGGGAATAGTTCTTCCGGTTCTAACACTTCCGGTATGCGGGAGCATGTCTAGCCGGCTGACAGGATGCTGAAGTGGTGCGCGTTAAACGGTTTTGAAGCCCTTGACAGCGAAGTGAGCTGTAATAAGGTGGGTTAATAGTACGTCGATGTATCATGTCCGCGCATATTTGGTCATCGGGCTGCCACTGCGCAGTCGTTGGCTGCAGCAGCGATTTCCGAAAACGGAAGATAGCGCGCGACAAATTGTGCACCGAACACAAGAAGTCGCAAAGCGAATGTGGCTGTAACGTATACACTTTGCATCGCTTCCCCGCTGATATCAGCGGGGAAGCGATGCAATATCAGCACATAAAAAAAGCTAATAGGCAGAATAGAAACGGACATCTACAAAAGCAGTAATAGGCCTCGACAAATCAAATGCAGAACGAATTTTGCAGCTTGTGGTGTAAATGTAAGAAAGACCCTGGGTGTAATGATTGTTATTGGCTACTCAAGTTTTGTTTTTCCTTCCGTTCATTCCTACAAGGATGTGCACTATAATTTTGTGTGTTGCTCGGTAGCGATTCCCGTAAAATACGTTAATGGAAACAATACGAAAAGAGGGCGCAAAATCGTCGTCGCCCTCCCCCCCCCCCTTTCACCCCCATCTCCTGAATAGTTCCGACGCATCTCAGCGTCATACGAAGTAGAGATGTCCCGGTAACTAGCGATCGTACCTCGAGGGTGCACCATAAGAATAAACCGTTCGGCCCGCATCGCCAACTCCCATTGTGAGTATTTCTACGATTAAACGATGATACTTCTATGCCCAGGGTCGCCCTCGCTCGCGCATAGAAACGGATCCGTTAGTCATTCGCAGAAGGCTGTCATTCTTCACAAACAAAACACGCGAAGAGCAAACACTGGTAAACGTCCTCAGAAAAAGTGAACATGCCTCCGATTTCGATTACCGGCGACGCTGGCGACGAACCTCTCGGCGCTGTTGGCGCAACAACGGGCGCCATGAAGGCGAATAAACACGCCAGAACACAAGAATAATTCACACTTTCAATAACAAACAAATTAAGAACTCACTAAGGGGAAAACAATGAAGATACGATGCACGGGGTCAATGGGGACAACGCGGGAGCTAGGAACAACGCTGCTCTCCGCATACCAAAATGGGCGCACTACAACCGTACGCCAGACGGCGCGGCTGTCGCTGCAACACGCAAGATGGCGACGACTACGCGGAAAAGGTGTATAGCGAGCCCAATCAATGGCCAAATTAGGGGATGGGGGGGGGGGGGGGGCTGTCCTCATTAAATGTTTAGTACATACAAGGTGTACTCGCAAATGCGGGCCAACTCGCTTCTGCGAATACTATGCATCGCAAAGAAAAAAAGTTGATGCTGTACGATAATTTGGACTGTTGCCGGCGTCATGGACTATATTCCTTACTTTTTTTCACTGTGTGTACACATCTATAGAAGTGTTTTTTTCTTACGTTGAAATTACTGATGCATTGTACTTTTTAAAGTAATTGTTTAATAAAAAATATTATGGGCATCTTGCAAGCATTATTTAGCTTTTTCGTATTTTACTGTTATACGACCCCCTCCCCCCCCCCCCCCCCCCCCCCCTTGGGCGCACATGCCAAAGGGCAGTCAGTTTGCCCCCCCCCAGGACAAATTCCTGCCGACGCCCATGGAAGGAATATACATTTTTATTGCGAGCTAAGGTACAATTTTTCGGGTTGCGTTTACATATGTCGCCTCTTTTCTCGGCTGTACAGGGCAGACCATGTTCCCTGAGAGGACATTATTCGTACCCGGGCAGGAACCGTCGTTAGTTGACCTTGACAATATAACGTATAATTACACGCAGAGAGAGTCACTATTTACATGCGTGTGTCTGCGGATGAAACATTTATGGGAGTGTGCACTGTCATAAAAGCGACCCTTTTTCTTAGAAAATGCCTCTAGGTAGTTCTGACTTTTATCACGGGTAGTTTTGGCTGCAGCTGCTTGCGCCACTCAGGGAATGGAACCTGAAAACAAAATGGGCAGACAGTTAAAAGGGAGGACACCACCTGGGAATGTCGACTTTCAAACCATTCGCTCAGTCGGCGTAATATTTGCGGTAGTGTTTATATCCATATAGAAGGGGGGCATGGAAAGTTCCAGCCCTGTGAACCAATTTTGTGAGGTACCCCCAAAACGAAGTAAATAAAGCATAGCTTGAAATGGAATCTGCTCAATGAGTCTATCGTTGAAAAATGGTGTTGATAACCACATATTTTTCTGGGGGAATGCATACTGGAATACCTGTTGCCAATTACTATGAAAAAAAAATTTCACAAAATGTTTATTTTTCAGCTAAGAAAAATTAATAATGTCGAGCCCGGATATATCAAATTCAAAGGGGATCGTAAAATAATTCGATATATCGCTAATTGGATATACAAAAATATGTTAACTCCAGTTGAAATTTCTCCGCATCTCTGCTAATACCAAAGGCCGCAACAAACGGGACCTTGCCAAATAGAGCCTCGAAGAGCCGCTAAATACAGTAGAGCTGAGTTAGTTTGTGAAGATCGCAAACACCGCAGCGTTTACGCGACGGTGTTTGCGGTCGTTTGCGCCTGGCCACGACCTCGCGGAGCACAGGCAGCAAAAAGAGAAAAAAAAAAAAAGCTGTAGCTTGTGTTCGCGGCGCTGGCTTTCCAGGCGAGCGATCTGCTCTTCTTTCCCAAGGGAATCTGAAGTGCTCGACGCACAACTGCGGTTGCGGACCCATTCACGCTGCTGCGTACGTCGCCGCTCTTTCCGCACCCGGTCTTCTTTCCCCAAAGAAAGGGCACGCGGCTGATCCATCGTGAGTCCAAGCCGAAACGGCGCGCAAAACAGTCGAGGACAAAAAAGAAACACGTGACGTGCGCTACGCTCGTCACGTGCGTTTCTTCTTCGTCCTCTTTTTTTCGTGCTGTTTCCTACGATGAATTCCTACCAACTTGCCCAACTATCCATTCTGCTTTGATAGCTGGAAAGGGTGACACCATCTATGAGCGACGGCGGCAACCAGACTGGTTGCCGCTGTCGCTTGTAGATGGCGCGTAGATATGTGTCGACATACTGGACACGATCCTGGGAAACCTAGCCCTTAACAGCTCCGCTGTAAAAACTGTCAAAGCAAAAACGGCGAAAGAAAAGGAATACGAAGATAAGGCGTTCAAATCGCGATTGCTCAACGGTTGTTGTCGACACACTCGACTTAAGAAAGACTTTTTGTTGTTTTTTGCTTATTTTATTTTGGGGCTAAGGAGTCGCGCAGCGACAGCGGTGTTCAGAGAGAGAGCGCACGCTGCCGTTCCAACAGCGGGCACTCCCTGTCCTCTCTACGCGCGAGTGTGCGCTTCCCTTTATTTTTGCCATCCTCCACTTTCTTATTTTTTTTTTTTTGTGCAACTGCTTTTTTGCTGCGTATCCTCCGTGCGCGTATGCTGGCTTGGCGGTCTTAGAGTCACTAAATAAAGCTACGCTTTCAGAGTACTGAAACTCAAAAACTATGCGTCTGAAACGTGTCAGGCGCCGCCATCTTGGGTCCACGCACAGATGGAGGATTGACTCTAGCCGAGCCAAGCCGAGCTGTAGCTGTCGCGAAAAAAAAACGCATGGTGAGCGACGAACTTCAGCTTGCGCATGCAGTAAACAGCAGCAGGCAGAACCGCTGGACCCAAGATTGTGGCGTTGAGAAAACGCGATGATGATGATAGCGACTCATGTGACTGCCGCTGTCCAATGATGCCACAGCGAACCGCAGTATTGTTGGATAGAGCAACTATTGTCGGCTAAATGCCAAAGAAAAGGAATACGGTACTCTGAAAGCGTAGCTTATTTAGCGACTAGGCGGTCTGGCAGCCCCGTAACGCGAGCTGTGTGCTCGCCGCAGGCGCACGCAATCCGACCGCGGGGGGAGAAGGAACGGGCGGCCGTGCTTAGTTCACTATATCGAGTGTCCTCGCCATGGGAGTTTGATACAGAAAAACAACGCTCCTCTACTATTACATGGGATTTTCATGGGGATGTTTGGATTGTTTGATATAGACAATAATTCAAAATACCCGGGTGTGATATGACCGGGCTACGTCTCTAGATGTTGGTGGATATGTCATTTTTCAACATGACTTTTTTTTTTTCCAGAAATCCTTAACTGACTAAGTGCTGGGCACTACATTACAATTGCTTTGTGAGATACTTTTGCAAAAACGGCAGAAAAGTATTCCGGAATACAGATACCTATAAAAATACATTTGTTCCCGAACGGTGCTTCAGTGGTAGGGTGGAGTTTGTGGCAAATGCAAAAAGAAATGCCTGCTTTTGCTCCTATTTTTGTGTCATTTTATGTACTTCCCCTTGCCTCAAACTCTTTATCTATCATTGATGCTGCAAGAAAAAAATGTCATTTCTGGTGAACCGCATAGTTACTGAACGGTAAAGACTGCATGCCTCGCTTGACAAAAGGCGTCTGCATGAAATGAACCCTGTTTTGCCATGAGGGTGCATCTCAAACTGTCATCTTTTATGCCCGCCCATGATGTGGGGAGATTCGACAACAGAGCCGGACCTTTTCTACACTCAACTCCTCTACAGCGTTTGCTCTGCTAAATTGGAAAAAGTGGAGTGCTTGCGAGATGAGCTTATTGTGTAATTCTTGCGAGAAACCTTTTTTAAACCAGCTTTTTTTAATGCTGGTGACTGCAATGGATCGTGTTATAGGGTGGTTTCATATTATAAATTCTGGAGCACCCTGCACCGAATATGTTTTTATCGTCTAAATTTATCGTAAAAAACGGCTACAAACGTAAAGGGATACCTAAGTCTGGCAAAGTATCGCGATAAAAGCGATACATTGTAAATGCACATCACTACTGAGATACAAGTACATTTTTCACGTGTATCTGGATACACAGATACTCTCCAAGATACTATCGCGATACAAATGTTTGTATCGCGATAGTATCTTGTTTACCTGTTTACAACAACTGTAATACATCTTTTACTGCTGCGATAGAAAAAAAATGTGGACAAGGTGGAGAAGCATGACGGCGTAAATAAGTGGGGCAGCTGTCGATGAGGGAACCTGCCTTGTTTGCTTGCGGTCACCACCAGGAAGTTGGCTCGTTGCTGCTCTGGACAGTGGAGTCTGAATGCAGTTGGCTGGCTGCTCAGGGCCTGCTGGGGATGCTGCACCAAAATTGTTCATAAAACGTGCGATTATTCAGTGGCACATTGCTCTCGATCAAATGATAGACCCCTTTTTGCATCTGATGGAAGAGTGCAGGAGCGCTCTTGTTCACTGGAAGGGACTTGGGCCATGTGCACCATCCACAGCTCACAAATTATTTCAAAGTTTTGTCATCTCTCTTTGAGGCCTTTTTTCAGTTTAGGCGGCGCCGATGGCCGGCCCAATCTCCCGGGTGCCGTCTGCCGAGACTTGTCTCTCCTAGTGCCCGGATTATCGCCCCCCAGAGCCAATCTCTTGCCCCCCTTGAAGCAGTGTCTGGGACTGGCTACATGTCGAAGAATGCTTCCAAAACTTACGTGTGCCACCAGGCTACGCAGGATCGTGACTGCACACTACACACAGGTGCTGGTATCTACCCTTTTAAATTTCACGTTCCAGGGTGAATGTCGCACTAAAACGCCGGGCCTTGGATCCCCAGGTTCGAATCGCAGTCGAGGTGCCACAATCTGACGGAGCATATTGCGGAGGAGGCACCGTGTAACCGAGCTTTCGGTTGCACGTCGAAGATCCCCGGGTGGTCCAAATTAGTTCTCAGTTTTCCACTGGGGCGTGCCAGATGCCCGTCGTTGGTTTGGCGTGTACAAACCCCCACATTTTACTTTTTTGCTGACCAACGTACGAGGCATTGGAAAATATGGATGCGTTAAAAGATCCGCAATAAAATAAAATCTCGCTCGAAAGCAGAGACGTACATAATTAGCCACGGTCTAAGTTAAGTCAAAGCTTCATTCACTCGCTGTTGATTTCAGGCGCAAGAAAGCAGTCGAGAATCAATAGCTCTCCCTTGTCTCTAAGCCCTTCCGCCTTCTCTCTTTAACACAATGCCGAAATATGGCACCACTTTTGGTGAAATTTTGAAAAAAAAAAGGAGAGTGGCTGTACGTGTTGCAGGCTATCCTGCGCGTTCCACTCACATATTCGTGGCCGTAGCTCGGTGCCCCGACCCAGACTTGGTTCGGTGCCACGCTTGGACTCGCGCCGACGGGATGTAAGCTCGTCGGTCCGTTTTGGAAGCCCTGAAACACGGCCTGCTGCCACGGCCGCCGCAGCCAGGGCGCGTCCAGGAGGAGGTTTGGCGCCGCCTGCGGAACGTAGTAGCCCCGCGATGCCGCTCCGCCCTGCTGACACACCAGCGACGGGTAGCTCCACTGGACGTGCGACATGGCGTCGTTCCACGGCGCGGGGCTCAAACTGTAGAACATGGGGGCACCGTTTGAGAATGCGGTGCTTGCGGGGAATGCCACGGCACTTGTGAGGGAAGGGACGGAGTTTGCGGACGGGACGAAGAAGGAGCGGGCGTCGTGCGGGGGGATCGGGCGAGGGACGGCCGCCTGGACCGTCGGCTGGACGGAGCGGCAGTTGGGGTGTGGCCGTGGCTCTGGGGCAGGCTGGAACGAGAAAACGGGGAGGGTCGGAGGAGTTCTCGAGCTGCCAGGACGTTGAGAAACTGCAAATATGTTGTCACCTACGGTCAAATCTCGTTAATTCAAACTCTCTTGATTCAAACTTGCGGATAATTCAAACTGACATGCAGGTCCCATCCTATGTGTCTTTATGGGAGGAAACTCCCGAAAATTCAAACTTTATTCGAATAAATTTTCGGTCCCCCTCGAGTATGAATTAACGAGATTCGACTTATGTATTGGCGTAACCCTTGGTAGCACACTTGGTTCTGCAAATGTCCTTAGGATGTCTTAACGGTCTGGGGATGTCCGGTAAACATATCGTGGGACATCCCCCAGAACGTTGCGACACCCGAAGGACATTCGTGGAGCCAAGTGTGCTACTAGGGACGCGCATTTATTCTCTTAATATCGCGCAACATCATTGTTGCGCTGTAGCGTGTCATGTCCTCGAGACCTCTGTGTGGGAAGATTTCTGCAGATTTTAACTCTAACTGCATCGGAACAGATCCATGTCTTACCTGGAGTTGCGGCAGTTCTGCCTCAAAACTAGAAGTACTTAATTTTTTTCGGCGGTGGAACTATGTGTTGCTTGTAGGAAACCAATATTTCTGACCGCATAGCCACGAAACCTTGCAGGGGCGGTGCAACAATTTTAGTACTTTGAGTAAATACCGCTTATAATTATTCCTTGACATTCATAACCTATGAAACACGCTTTAGCTTTTTCTCCAGGAAATATTTGAGAAGGAGCAGCGTTCGCCCCCTCAGCTCGCAGCCAGAACGAGTGGCCGCACGGTCTAGAACCGATTGTATGTCGCCGGTATTTATCGTAGCCCCGTGCTGGGGGTGGCAAAGCACGGGGCACGCTCTGACTTCCACACATTGGTAAGGTTCGGCTCTTTTTGTCGTTGCAGCGGTTGGGTACAAGCCAAATTGCTGCAACGAAGGCCCGAACGTACATCGAGGCATTGATTGTCACAAGCCCAAATCGAATGCTCGCACAGCGTTCTCATACACCGTCTGACCGCGGGGACCGCAAAACTCGACGATGAAATCCTAGAGATTGCGTCGTTAACAATGCCAATAGTGCCATCCGCGTCTCATCAAGTTTTGCGAAAGACAGAAAAAAATATGTACGCTTTTTTCCTCCAAATTTTGCTGCGACAAAGAAACCCTTTGGTCGTTGGCATTGCGTGCGAGTATACTTGGGTCCACCTAAGTGCCGGTAAGCTTGTGCCAAGTGGTAAGCTTTCCTATTCGCTATCCTCGCACGGCCCCTTCAAGTGCTCGTCGCAGAAATCTGGATCGAAGCTAAGGCAAAAAGTTATTGCAGTCCGAAGAATTGATTGCACTGTCGGTGCAGCGTTACCTTACCATAGGTCGAAACCTAGACGGCTTAGCTAGCACCGGGCATGTTCAGATGGCATTGGGAGTTCTCACCTTAAGCACCGGCCTGTCGCGACGCCCACAAGTCGCAGCTACGGACGGGAGACGGCCGGGGATGGTCGGTGGCGCGGGGATCTCGGCGACGAGCTCGCACATCCTCTGCAGCGACGTGGCTCCGGTGGGCGGCAATGGGGAGAGCCTCGACGGCGAAAGCTGCGGTAGCGGGCTGTTGCCGTGGTAACGCGTGGGCGACAGTGCCGCGTCCTCGCTCAGGTACCCCGACGAGAAGCTGAAGCTGGATTTAGGGCTGTCGACGCAGTAGAGGCCCTCCTTCTCCAGACTCTGCAGGTCGGCCGGAAGCTTGGGGGACTTCGGCAGTCGTTCCTCCTTTCCTTCGCTTTGAGCCCCAGCATCATCCAATAGGACGATGCCGTTCCGCTCGCTCGGCTCTGGACTCTCGACGGACTCCGGGTCTTTCGGCTCGGGCTCCGTTGCTCTCGTGTCTGGAGAATCAAGGAAGACATCTGGGATTTGCTCCACCTGATGGACTAAGATCGGATTGTGGTGTCTTTCCGCGGACAAGGTCTCCTTGTCTGCGACTTCTGACGCTGCGGATTCATCGTTTCGGTACTCGGGGCAGGCTTCGCGGTTTTCTCGTTCCCGTAAGCCGGAGTCGAACGGAGCGGAGTCGAGGAGCTGCCCCAAGGTTTGTCCGGCGTACTTAAGCGGAGGCACGGACTTGCACCTGACCTGGATCGCGTCGAGAGCCCCGAACCCGCCTTCGATATAATCGCCGTCCGTCTTCGGGGCAAGCTCCGCAAACTGATCGAGACGGGACGACATCTGCACCGAGTATCCCTCCTCTCCACCGTCGCATTCTACCGCGTTGTCCCCTCCTTTTGCGTCGGGAACGGCGGCGATCTCGGGCGAGTCTGGAGCAATCTCGGTTTCAGGCCGACGACCCGTTTCGTCGCTCTCAGAATGTCGCTCTGTCGTCGAGTCGGTGCTGTCGTTTTTCTCGTCTGTACCGCAAACCGTCGAAACCGTAGGCTCGCCAATTTGGTTAGTTCTGTGTTCCTCATCTTCTGCCTCGGTTGTTTGCGCAGCATTCTCCACATCGGGCTGGACGTTGGCGCCGTGTTCGAGTATGTCGATCTTGTCTACGAGTTGGTCGTACGCCTCAGCATGGCTCGAGTTGTTGGCAGTTTGGGTGCCTTCGGCGATTGTGTAGCCCTCCGACCTTCCTCGGGCGTCGTGCAGCTTTGAGATGAGCTCACTGGGGTGACTTTGCGTGCCGCCGATCTTGAGGTCCGGGAAGTAGCCGACGACGTCGCTGCTGGTTTCCAGGCTGCCATCCAGTCGGCAGATGTCGTACGTCAGGTCCGCAGAGTCCTGCGAAGGAAAACTTTTAGTAAAGCATCCCTTTCAAGTTGTCCTACACTGCGCTGTTTGTCTTACGCCTAATTTGCAACGAAAAAGAACTTACACCCTTAGGGTGGGACGAAAATGATCCCTGGAGAAGGAGAACAAAGGACAAACAGAACTGTTCGGGTAGATTTTTTTTTTTTTTTAATGGAGCCACTACAATTTTGATTTTCATGTCAGTTTAAAAGTGATGTCCCTACTCTATGTGCCCTAATATCCCGTAAAATGGCCGATACCCCATGGAGGCCAAAAAGGGTGGCAAAAGGGGGTTGGCCGACTTTCGGTGTGCATCTCAGGAATATGCTCTGCTCAGTCCTTTATTCATACACGCCTACATCACCCGCTCGGTGCTGTGACATGCATATTAACTAAAGACAAAGATGGAGCTTTCTTGATTCTTTCCATATCGCCAGAGGAACACTTGCTATCTTTGTCAAAACTTGTGTTGTCCACTTCATTGCTCGAGTCGTCTGAACCCAAGTAATGTGATGTGGACCATTAAGTAGGCCATCTTTTGGTGCTCTTTCAACGAGAGAAGGCTGGACAGAAAATAGGCGAATCATTTCTGGAGATCTTGCGGTATCCTTCTCTGCATGATTTGTATGTTGTTTAGATTATGTTCCCAAATGTTATTTTCCCTTATTATAATCGGTACCTTGCTTTTGTGCGGCTCTATGCTGGTGAGCTTATCTTTTTCTACCAGATTATCGGGTTGCACGATTTCTAAGCACAGCATTGATTGTTATTGTTAATTACATTTTTCGTCAAATTAGTATGGTGAAACCACCATATGAGACAAAACTTTGCTTGATGTTCATGCACAATTTTGTCATGACATAGGTGCTTGTACATTTCTGTTTGTAGGTGTAAAAGTTGCTATATTTTTTTTTATGCTTCACAGTCTAAAAACTGGCTTACCTCGAGCGCTTTTCTCGTGGCAGACGACAGGGCCTCCATAGCTGGGTCCTTGGGTGGTCGAGTCTTCAGAATGCTTCTTGAGACTGACTTGGGAGGTCTTCCCCTCTTCCGCTTCACAACAGTTTCATTTTGCTCTTTAGGCACATGTGCCTCTTCCCGTTTCGACCGTCTGTGGCTCGGCTTAAACTGTGTTCGAGCTATTGGGACATCCAATCGGTCTGGGTTGCTCGCGTAACCGTTCTGACGTGTTCCTTTCGGCTCTCTTTGGATCGGCTTTGACTGTGTTCGAGTTATTAGGATGCTAGCGGGTACATAAAGTCGATGTAAGTTGCCCGTGTCACTCTCCTGGTGTGTGGCTTTTGACTGTCTTTGGATTGACTCTGACTGTGTCTGAGCTACTGGGACATTAGCCGAGACTGGATCCAGGTCGCTTGTGTCACTATCCTGGCACGCTTTTCCTCGGCTGCTCCTCAGGTGCCTCTTGAGGGGCTCGGACGTAGACAAGCGGACGAACCTCGGGACGTAGAGTTGATCCGAGTCGCTCGTATCGTCTTGACCCTGCATTCTCATGGTTCTCTTTCTTCTTCGCTCTCTTTGGATTGACACAGATCTTCTCTTCTGCACTCTGATGCTCTTTGGAGCATACTGCTCGTTCAGGTCGCTTTGGTTGTTGCTCTCCTGCTCGGTCGTTTGTTTGCTTGTTGGCATTTTGGTCTTTGATGTGCCGATGCTCCCAGGGACGTAAAGTCTGGCCGAGCCGCTTGCGTCGTCGCTTCCCTGTACTGTGTGCAGAGTGTCCAGCATTGCCATCCAGAGACGATACCCCTTGCCAGCAACTTCTGCAAGATCGGAGGTGTTGGCTCAAGTTTGGGGCAGGTTTCACGGGTCCTAGCCAATACTGTTCAAGAATCATAGTAAAAAAATTGTAGGGCCCTTCCACTTCACGTGATGATGGAGGACCAGCGAAGCTGTTATTTTTACGGCGTCTAGGATGATGCCCAGAAGATGACATCTAGGACGACATGAAGGACGACGTCTAGGACAACCTCGAGGACGACTTCTAGGACGACCTCAAGGATGACGCCTAGAGGACGACGTCTAGGATGACCGCAAGGACGACCTCAAGGATGACCCCTAGGACAACACCTTGGGGACGACCTCAAGGACGACTTCTAGGACAACCTCGAGGACGACTTCTAGGGTGACCTCGAGGACGATGCCCAGTGATGTGATTGCTGCGCCAATGCGCCAAACATCGTCAAGGGGCTAACCCTGTGACATTCTGCTACATCCTGCTACATTTTGCCAAAATGTGGGTAATCTGCTCCAAGCCTGCACCAAAGGACCAGTTTTGGTCGTCTTTCAAAACCGAAACTAAACTGAGTACCGTCATTGAGCATGTGTGAGCTAGGTGGCGCAAGCGGCCGCCTGCCACAAAGTACCCTGCATCAATCGTGGCATTGTAACCCCCGGGAGCCGAGGAAAAGAAGGGACGTAGGACAGGCACAAAACTCCAATGTCAGTATTGAACCAGCTCGCCTGCATCCTTGCTTTAGTTGCATCAATCGTCCATCCGGTCTCGCATGGTTTTTCCCGCCGTCTCTTTCATGCTCTTGTCGTCTCTTAAATCTCGTCTCGCATTGTTTTTTTTAACGATAGATGCGGGCGTGTGCGGACGCTCTGACGCTAACGTGCTGGGTACCAGCCATGCCGTCACGCTGTGAAACAAAATTACGTTTTTGCACGGCATGAGTTACTTTTTGAGCTGAAGTACTCGCTTCTGAAAGCAACGGCCGTGGGAAAACTACATTTGGTCCCTGCTTGCCAGTTCGCACGTCGCTACAGATATGGAGCTTCCTAAACTGAAACATAAGGACCGCCGCATGCTCAATCAGCATTCCTGTCCTTGTTTAAATCATACGTTACTACAAAAATCCATCTTTAGTTCAAACACTGCTCTGTCAAAGTATTGATTATCTAGATTCCTCTCGGTGGGCGTTCTTTCAAGAGGGACCTCGGTTCGTGAAAAATCTGCCGTGAAAGAAAGTTGGTGAAGAGAAGTGAGCTAAAGCAAAGAAGGCAATGTCTGAATGCGGGACCCGCACAGCACGCTTGTTTGTCTCGAGTTCAGTCGTTGCACAAAGCGCTCCAAGAACGTTTTGACCCTGACTCGCTATGTCCTGCATCGATGCGCTCAGGTTATTTTTTTTCTGTATGTTTAGCTTGTACCTCGCCTGCCGGCCTTGCTAGCTCGCGCCGCTGGACTGTTTATTATCGCATGCTGGGCAGTTACATTTTGCATACATTTTTGGAAACCATTTGGCGACAGAGCGGAGAGGCATGGTTTCGGTTTCGATCGAACAGCCGTCTCCGCTTGTGCGATGAAGCACGTGCAGCTGCAAGCCTGCCGGAGTTGCCCTGACGTCCACGCGAACATGATTGCACGATAGAGGCACCAGCCGGGACGCTTGCAATCCACTGTTTTACGTTTATTTTTGACGAAAATCTGGCACGTCAGGAATCAGTAAAACGGTGGCAAGCGATTTTTCAGAATTGCTCAGCAACGCCTACAGCACTGTACACTTGTGGGATGTCTCAATGTTCCTTTGGAGACGTGGAAAGTGGACATTCATTACTGGCCTAAGCCGAAGCGAAGCTTGCAGCAGCTTTGCAGAAAGTTTCGAAAAGCAAAAAGCACCGGCTAATTGTTATGCACCTTTTTCTTGCGTGCAATTTCGCATTGCACTGCAGTAGCTATGTGTTTCATCAGTCGGAGACTGCTTCCATTTATTATATAACTAGTCAACCTAACGCTGTGATATTACTACTAAGCTGGTCATTTTCAAATAAATTTTAATATGTGAAGTTTGGTTTTCAAATAAATCTTAATATGTGAAGTTTGGTTCTTATCTATCTACTGAAGCATTGCAAAATGTGTCATGTCATTGACATTTCACTTATATCTTGAAAGACTCCTAGGTGGTCGAACTTCACCATAGTTCGTTTGTTTCGGCGAGCAAAGTGCCCTTCGTTTGTCCAGCACCTAAAACAAATATTTTTATTTTTCTAAGAATATCTGCTCCTAAAGCCACTTTTGTTGCTCCAAAACACTGTTTTGGCTGCTCCGAAAGGTGCTCCAAAACAGCTTAGGCCAATCACATCACTGGATGCCTAGAGATGATAACAAGGGATCAGGACCTCAGTTTCTAGTAATGCCAAGGAGGGCTGATTCATACTTGCCACGACCAATGGGGAGTTATCTGTCAATATTCGCGGGAACATTTTTTCCCAGATCCTAACGCATAACAGCTTCGCTGTAAAAAAAAGTTGAGCTCCTCGTGGAGCATTGCTGATGTCTCCCTTTATCTGACAAATCAAGATGCTTATCCAAGATTAGTTATTTTGCTATTTTATCGAGACATAAATGTTTCCAATTTAAAGGGCAACTCCGCTCAATTCCGAAGATTTCGGGATAATGAGTGATTTCGAATTAAAAAGCCCTAGTAAAAGACACTACGTCTTTCGCTTTGCGAAAAATGGGATATATATTTTTAAATCTAATTTTAAACACGAGCGGAAATCGAAACCAAAACTTCGGCTCCATCCGGCAACATTGGCCTCGGGCCGCCAAGTACATGGCCATCACGTGGTACGAGAGGTCACGTGATCCTCAACCCAACGACGGGCGGGATGGGCGTGGGCGGGCGTGCGGCAGGCGCGAGTGTCGTCTGCACCGCACTCTTCGCCACGTTTTGGTGTCTACGGCATTCGACGACGTCTGCACAACTGCGGCATAAGTCTGGGACTCTGTGCACGTGGTGTCCATAATGTGGACGAAACTCCGAGAGGCAATAATCACAAACGGTGAGACGACGACGGTGGTTGTGACGCGGAAGACGGCGGTAATGGCGGGACCACGGCGAGCGGTTGGTCTGCTCCCAAGAAGCGCGCTGCGCAGGCGCGTACGTCAATCACGTGGACAACGCTAAGCGCCGAGAGGCAACGTTGCTGACGTCACGCGCTACGCTCGATCGGAGAAGTAAAAACAAGCAAAAGGGGGCCATGTAGATGGTGTTTAGCTCAATGTTGGCTCCGCCCATGCCGTAGCCTTGACTGCGCTGTTGGTTGCGCCTGAATTCGCCCGCTCGAGTCAGCCGATTTCGGCAACTTGGTGAGTTGCAAAGTTTGCCAAACCGTTTAAGAAACATTTAGACAGAACTGCGTCGTAATATTTGACATGTGGTCTTCCTAGGCGATACTGAAGAGGACTGCATTGTTTTTTCAAAACCAAAAATGAAGCGGAGTTGCCCTTTAAGAAGCAGCATTTTTCTTTCTAACGAGCAAATACTCTAAGAACTACTTCATACAGCACATCAACTTGTCTTGCTCTGTGACAGTGAGTGTGGGGATCCAGCATTCTATATGCTTAGGCAGTGTGGTCTATGGGAATCGAAAATTCAAATTTTTTATTCATACCACTTTGGAGTCCATTGTAGAAGGCACAGTTTTCCACCATCCTCTTGAAGTCCTTCACGAACGCCTCCTTGGACGTGTAAAGGCCATCTTCCACTCGTTTTGCAATCAGAGAAAGGTCCATTGGCTCCTTGGAAAGAAACATTTGCTTAGTTTCTAAGCTGCCTGGTGTGACCCCCCTGGGGTGACATTACCTTGACAATGCTGAAATAACCGGGGCAGACAACTTCATTGACGGGGTTTGCAAACAGCCAGGCGTCCTTGTGGCCCCTCGTGATTTCCAGGACTGTTGACGGTTTCATGAGCACAGGCATGAAGAAGTTAGTATGCGGTGAAAATCCTGAATTACAGAATCCGATTGCGGCAGGCAGTTTTTTCCGTCTTAACATATTTCCTCGAAAATTGTTGCTAAGCTGATGACCGAAAGCACTTCCTGGCTGTTTTTGTCGCTTCGTGGATGTAAAAATGAACTGACGTGTGAAAGTGATGTTTCGGGCACACTGTATTTCTTTAGTTAGCCTTACGATTTATTTTGGGGGAGCACTCTTTGCCCATCGACGGAATATGGCTTCTTTCATTCTATTAAGACGTCTGCCATAGCAGTCCGAGTCAATGCTCCGAAAATGCCTCGACTTGTGCCTCTGTTGATGTTTGCCTCGATAAAGCTCACCTGTTTTGAGGCCAGAGAGCAAGTCCAGTTGTCCAGATGGCCCGCACGACCTGCGAAGGAGGACTCGTGAAACAGACTTCAATCGTGGACATTTTATATTGACACAGTTTCCTTCAACATTTTGTTATCACGAGCTTGGCACGTGCTGAAAGCGAGTATTCCCAAGATTCACAAATGGGTAGGCATAAAAGCTTACAAGTATCATCACACCTGACATTTTCTCACTTTTGGATTGATATCATGTGGCAACAGCCTATGCAGCGAGCGAGTTCACCCCACATGGCATGGGAGTAGGATTGATCTCGTGTGCGACCAAGCTAGGGTCATAGCAGAGAGGGTAAAAAGAGAAAAAAATGCCCTCCCCCTCTCGCCCGCACGTCGTCTGCTCCGCCGAGTGGGCAGTACCTAGCACCCGGCTGGCGTACAAACTATGTTTAAAATCGCGTCATTTTGGGAATTTCAAGCGCAGATGCGCAGATTTTGATGTGCCACTTATCGTGTATTACTATGCTAGATAAAAAAGACTAACAGAGTCCAATTGCGCTGTTATCTGCGTGCAAATAAAAAAAAGAATAGGGAAAACTTTGTCAGACTGGCCGGTCTCTCGAGCGTAAAGTGAATCCGGTGGCTGTACCTTTTTTACTATACAAAGTTCGTACTGGTGTAGGCCTTTAGCGACCATGAGTGGATGTCTGAAATAATTAATAAAAACGTGCTCTCCTGCCGCAATACAAGCAGTAGTTGAGGGTAGTACTGCCGGCTGACTCAACTGCTATTTAAGTAACGGAAAAAAAGATATGTCAGTTGATCGTTGACCGAAGCAGAACAACAGAGAGCTCTAGGCTAATTTTGGAGTAGCCATAACTATTCTAAGAACGTGAACCACATCACAACGGCAGCCACGAGCGAGAGTTCGATGTTCCGTACAGCCCGCCGGTACAGCCCAAAGATGGAGAATGGCAACCTTTCGTTTTGTCGTCTGCTAGCGGAGTCGGGCGCGTGCCCTCTCTCTCGTTTTACCCCGCCGAACCCGCTGAATTTTCCGGATGTATGGAGAGGGCGCTGCTTTCGAATAAAATTGTGCCGCCCAGAGCGCTAAATGGAATGGTCTATATCTGGGCCGTGCGTTGTTTACTCTAGCGCCTCCGGTAGTTGTGATGCTCAACCAGCGTTACTAAAAAAAAAAAAAACACTTAGTTGGGAAACTCATCCTTGAAACCTGGGTCGCTGGCGTCCACCGAGACCGAGCTAAATACGATAACAGAGCCACCCTTTAGCTGCGAGTTGAATCACGCTGCAGAACCCAGAATCCAGGGTTCAATCCCCGCCCCTGCCCGTTTCGATCTGGATGAGCATCGTACCGGCGTGTATCACTACTGCGTGGTGCATGTTAAAGATTCCAGGCTAGCAGTTGTACTGCGCTGGCTAAATTGGTCATCTACAGCTGGGAGACTCGTCGCCCGTTGGGGCAAACCAAGTTCTTTTTTTTTAGTTGAAACATGAAAGTTGCTTTGTATGGCTACTGCGAGAGTCACTGAATGTTCCCAGAGTACTGACACCCCCAGGCTCGAGGTGCCAAGATGGCGGCTCAATCTTTTTCTCTTTACTGCGGTGACCGTGAGCTTTTAGAAAGCACGTTTTCGCGTAAAAACAAACAGAAAAAGCTCTTTTTGTTTTAAATTTCATCGTCGATTTGTACGAAATGGCAGGAGCGTGATGCTCGCATAAAATTTAAGTTTACAGAGTTTTGGGGCACAATTGATATTGTTTTTACGTAGCCACGTCTCACCGGTGGTCTCGGGTAGCGTGTCCCGACCTGGGTGCGTCCTAACTTCGGCGATTAATTGTGGCGCGTCCGTTTGAGAGACGGGGCTTGGCGGCCCTGAACCCTTTCCACCGTATACGTTTCTTCGCCAAAAAGGACGATGAAAGCCAAATTTGAAGGGCGGACGCGATCGAACGCGATACTCCGACTACTGCGAGATGGCGCCGCCGGCCCTTGCGCAACTCGACCTGAACGAATGCGTGCAGCCGTGCAGTTCCACGAGTGGCCGCTGTGGGTGAAACGGCGGCGTAGCGATTTTCTTGAGTTTGGTTCTCGAGTACGGACTGGTGCCACCTCTCCAGGGTAGGCTCTATGTCAGTTTCCCGAGGTATCCCAGTAATTTGTTGTGCTCAGCTAAGCGGAGAGCAAGTCTTCTTGCGCAGGAGTTGCGGTGACGTCAGAACGATGCCGAGCTCTGATTGGCTCCGATTGATAGTGGGTAGACGCTGGATGCCTTCAGGTCTCCCCACCATTTTGCTTTTGAATCAGCCAATAAGAGCTTGGCGTTTTGACATTGTCGCAACCCCTGCGAAGGAACCAGACGAGCTTGCGCTCCGCATTACAACGTTCAGGCTTTCTGCTTTGCCATTGCTTCTCATAGATGCCGCAACCTGATTGGCTATGTGGTGAGATGCTCAAAACTCATTATGCCCTGCTTTTTTTTTGTTACTTTTTTGTGCGTGTGTCCTTCCAAAAAGAATTTACAGGGTTTCTTTTTTTTTTTTTTTTATAGCACATCGGTTCAGTGGGCCAAAAGAAAAAAGGCAGAAAGACAAAAGCCTGACTTTCAGTGCGAAAATTTGAAATCACAGCGGACTACTTCGTACCTCCTCCCCTTCGTAAGCTGTCTGCCTTTTTCACTGTGATACATCCGCGGCCCTAAAAGCGCGTCATCGGGTCCAAACGCACGTCACACGAAACCGGACCTCACTCAGTCCCTTCACCCCTAAGCTGACATTGTGGTGGAAGCTACGCGCTTGCCGGACCAATCAGCCGCCTCCCTTTCATCACCTGACCTCAATCTCTGCGCGTGGGTATGCGCGGCGGAGCGTGATCATATGGCAAGTGTGGCTGGCCCTACGAGCACGTAGCTTCCACAGCACTGTCAGCTCCGGGGTGAACGGGTTGGGGAAAGCAACTTTTGTCTGAATGTTGAGCGACGGGCTAATCTTCTAGGGGGACAATGGCTCTGTCCGGGTACATAAACCAGATTCCAAGCAAGAGGGGCCTCCAGGGGAGGAAGTGGCCGAGCTCGGAGCGTGGAGCGAAAGCTTGCGATCCCCGCCGCCCCCGCCCGTTTCGATCTGGATGACTTTCGTACCGGCACGCGTTCGTGTGATCACTACTGCGTGATACACGTTAAAAAACCCCAGGTTAGCGGTTGTACTGCACTGGCTAAATTTCTCATCTACTGCTAAGAGACCGATTACCCGTCGAGGCGCATCTCCATCAAGGCTGTATAAACATAAAGAGCAAACCAAGAGGGGCCTCCACACTTCCATTGATTTCCTTGCTCTCAAGACTCTGACTGACTGACTGAAGAGGGGCCTCCCCTCTTTTCGTCTTCTTGAACTGTTTGGTGGAATGATTTTCTGAAATTTTAAATTGGAAAATGGTGGCCAACGGAGGCTCTCCAACACATGGCCAGAACGGCGAAAATGGATCCCATTTTTCCATGGAAATATTTAGAAAATAGGGAGTTTTCGTAGATGGTTTTCGTCGTCCCGCAACGCACTCCCAAACCCGCTACGATACCCGGAACTCTACAGCCAAAAGGGGAAAGGGGGGGGGGGGGGGGTGTTTACGAAAACTCCCTAATCACTTGTAACGTTTGATAAGATAACGGACACTTCTGGAACTCTGGCATCTTGGAGCGTTCGGCTATGCGTTTACTTATTTCTACAATAATAAAAAAAGTTGTATTTTGGACAGCTGATTTTGAGCGATTTTTGCGTCACTGCAACCCTCTGCGAAAGCAGACGCTTTCTCCGCGAGCAGTGTGCGTTGCGTGCTGCGCGTGCGCGTCGTCTCCGTGCGCCAATCCTGACGCGGTTTTGGCTGCCGCGAAAGCGCAGTGGGGAACACGCAAGCTTAGCCGCATTCGAGCCTTTCTCGACACCTCATCTTTTTAGAAACAATACATTCGAGCGTTATATTCCGCGACATTCTTTTAGGAAGATGACGTAGTCCAGTCAGGGCGAAGTGGTTGGGCATCGGCGTCGCGTTCACGCGCCCGTCAACAAAAGCGTTCCTGTGCAAAATCTGTTTCGAACGCTTCGGTTTCTTTTTGAGATCCAGGGCGCGTGAAAGCGCGCCTCCCGGCACGAGCTCTTGGCATTCACGATGGTGCGACGGCAATTTTTTTTTTTTTTTTTTTTTTTTTTTTGAAATAGAAAGACAGTGAGTCTGCAGGTTTATCAGGATGTTTGAAACCCGAGACTGTGCTGAGGGGAAAAATAGGTTTTTTTTTTTTTGTTCGACTTCAGGATTTCCTGCTGTTTTTTTTTTTTTTTTGTGTGTCACTCTCCACAGTCTCGGGTTTTAAGCATCATAATTCATTTTTTATAGGCTGCTTTTTTTTTTTTTTTCTTTTTTTCCTCCGAAGAGCGCGTGCAGTGGGCATTGTGTACTTCAAGAACCCCAAGTTTCGAGGAGGTCATTACCGCTGACGCCCTCCATTTGTAACTACGAAAACTACTACAACGGAACGTAAGGGGGTACACCCGAGACTGGGAAAATACGAAAGTTGACGTCAGCTTTGGAATTTCCTCGGTGTCGGGTTGCTTCAAAATGTTTCCTCCAAGATGAACGAGGGACGTGGTTGGTGGGAAGAGCCTCTAGTA